GGTTTGCGTGAAATTATAAACCATGGCCGCCCGAAGACTAGTTCCTTTCATGGAGATTAACGGCTGTGGCACATATAGGATTCATAGACATTATCCCAACAATGGAGAATCAAATGCATCGGATCAGGTCACAATAGCACCCCCTATCCAACAAATACGCGTGTTCAGATGGAGCAGGAATGAAAAAAGGGCTGGCACCAAGATTGAGGGGCTTCAGAGACGCAGCAGCGATATCAAGAAAAACAACTTCAGCGATGCGTAGCAACATTCGAAACATAACGAGATAGCGGCAGTAAAATCAAACAGCATCGGTGCTGGACCTTCCTTATGCCCCAAAAGACCATGAATCAAGATCCTCAGCATCAGAAAGAAAACCGTGCTTTCGTCGAAGCCCCCTATACCATCAGAATACTTGCCAAGGCACAGTAAGCTTGGCTAGATTCTTTGCTGTAAGCGACATTGTCGCCGGCTGTGCAGGTTGGATGCACAGGCTGCCGACAATGGCATCCAGCATCTTGTCTGTCCTAAGCTCAATGCATACTTACGGTTGAGGGAAGAAATGCTTCATGACACTATGTTCATAAACTCTGTGAAATATGATACTGTAGTGTAATTAAGGTCATGCAGGATTCTGCCATGAACAGTAGGCCCTCCAGGCACCCTGAAACAAGGGGTCATAGGGTCCCGAGTAATGGTGGCAGGGTCTTGGTATAGATTTGGGCTCTCATTCTAGTGTTCGCCATTTGTGTTCCCCTAACATGACACCCGTATTGTGCCCTCGCATATACTCCTGAGGAAGCCCGTGGACACTCACAAAAAACCGCCGCTGTTCGTGTTATGATTATGTACTGCTACGATGACTGTAGCGCTCTAAACCATGTTGTTCGTGTGGCTTTCATCGGTACTAACCCTGTTACTTGTGGTGCCGAACGCTCTAGGTGTCGTGCTAGGGTTGCCAGGATCATTCTGCCAATCAACGTAATCGTACTCATCGCAGGTTTGCAGCTGCGCAGCTCCAGGTAAACAGGCTGTTCCATCCAAGTCTTATGTAGGAAGAGGTAGCAGCGCAAAAAACAATCCTCCACTTGATCATCAGTAACTAGGAACGGAACCCCGAGCTCAACATAATTCGGCTGCTTGGACCTAGATATAGGCCTGCCAAATAACCCCACAGGACCAGCAAATTCCCGTGAGACGGGGTGTAGTCGCAATTTTCTTGAACAGGAGGTCTAGGTAGCCCTGCAGCAAGAAATTGAACCGGATCAATAGACTCATCGCCTTCATCCGTGTCTGAACGCCCTGGCATGAGGTACTGCAAGCTTCTGGTGAAAGCGCCTGTAGTTCCTGCGCCTCCTAGAGCCTGTTTAGAGAAATTGAAATTGGGAAAGGTGCACAAGATGGAAAGAAACAAATGCACTGGATCACCTAGGAGGTATATTATGGAACATTATGGTATATTATGGCATATCATAGTATATAATGGTATATTATTATAGATCATAGTATCTTATGTTATAGTACGGTATATTCTGGTGAAGCGAGGAGCTGAAACTGCAGTGTCGCTGCGACGGTGCAGTTGCCAAACAGCTGAAGCTCGCGGATGAGGAGGACATCTGAATGCAGCTACTGGTTCTCAAGGAGGACTCGGGGGTATATCTGTGTATGAAACATATGGTGAGTCTACATGGGATAGGGATAGGCGTCCCCCATGCCTTGACAGCTGGCTCAATCAAGATACCTCCAACAAGCCTGAAATAAGTTAGGCTGCTGTAGGACCAGAGTCTATATAAACCATAGTCTAAACTCCTAGTATCCCCCTCAATCATCCTTATAGTAGTCCCCTAAACAATGTCCCTTTTGAGGAGCTTAGATTATGGCCCATATCACCATAATTTATCAGGTGAGGTCGGGTGAATGTCGTTTTTTTGGCCAGTGTATGGCGTCGTGGCCAACAATCCTACCGCAAGGGTCAGACCCGGAGGAACCAAGTTGCTGTTATCTTTCAAACAAAAGTGTAGTAATGGGCTTTCCTCATGATTGTAACTTATTTTCAGGTCCTCAGCAGGAAGCCAAGAAAGAGTGAGTGGAGAACAGCGGCCTAATTTCAATAGCGAAGCCGGCAGCGAGCCTTCCAACTTCTCAGGTTCATTGACGGCATTCTGGATGTGGCCGGCCAGGGAATTGGCACTGGTGCCTGCAGGCAGTAAGAATTATCACTCTTGCTCTTCTACCAGGGTTTAGGGTTTAGGGTTCTACCGTACCACAGCCCTGAATACTGCTGATGCTCGCTGATGACCGACCAGGACTTGAGACTCCGACTTTTTGCGGAAAGGTCGGTCCCTGCTTCTCTTCATGTTGGGACTACTGGTGCCATGATCATGCTTATCTGGGTCTTGGCTGGCTAGGAATGAAAGAATGGATCCTTATAGTAGTCCCCGTACAACCCATTACAGTAGTTTCCATTTTCTTTTCCATTCCTCCATTCCCAGCTAACCAAAGACCAGTTATGGCTTCGGCTACTCGGCCCTGGTTCGGGAGAAAAACCATTGCCAGCCTAATAACGCGCACGAGACATCTTGACGATGTTGTTAGAACTTGGTACCGTTAAATTTGGATATAGGGGAACCCCTTTGAGGGTCCCTTTAAGGACTATAGTATCTTCTCTGCAGCTATCTTTGTCGAGGACGGTTTCTATTCACCACGGTATTTGCATCACTTCTGGACTAATCAGAGGCCAAGAACACATACTTCCTAGGCTTAGTAGAGAAAAAGGGAATGGGGATTGCATATGCTTGTTCCCTACGAACCACCAGGAAGCATATTCCGCATTGCCCCCTGTATACTGACTGAAATTCCAAGGCTTCGGTTTACCGTGCCTAAAGTTCTAGTTGGGAATGTTGGCTTCTCAACAACTATTCCAGTGCTGATGGACACAATCCTGCATGACCCAAAGTGTAGAAACCCGATTGGAGAGGCTTGAGTGTCGCCACCTGTGGACAAGTCAAAGATGCTGACAATCTCAGAGATGTCCTCGGACCCATTCTCCACACCTTTGCTTTGATTCAGGCTGTTGTCAGCCAGACATGCTTATGAAATCCCCTCATTTTTTTCTTTGCCTCATCTCTCTTGCTTCGGCTGGCGACAGCATCTACAAACTATATCATTCGGATTCCGCTGAAGCTACACACGTGGGGACATCCAGTCCTTTAGTTTAGGCTCCTACATCAACCCCTGTGAACCTGTCCAGCCGCCCTAAGAAATTGGTGACTATAGACTAGAATTGTAGCTGATCAAAGAAGCTGCTCGCTGAGCGCTCAAGGTTTTGCTCCAAGTGGCAGAATTTCTGAAATGCGGGCGACAGAGAGAGGATGTCAAAGGACGTGGCATCAAAGACCACGCAAGCTTCTTCCTGAGCTGACGCAAAGGGACTGCAAACATGCACATGTCAGGTTTGGATGCTTACGCTCTCCCAAACTGGCAGCGTCGGGAAAAACATAATTAAAGACCCCAAGAAAGTATCATAACTCTGAGGGATGTTCAGGCCAGCCTGAATCGAACAAGTACACAACGTACAAGTTGTGGCAGCTACTGTGGATTCCTCAATGGCAACCAAGCATCAACCGGGCTGTGTCCATCCGAAAGGCTAGGACCTTGAGCCAAGGGCGCCGCCACCGAACCAAAGTCTTGAAATTCACGCATGCCGACCAGTCGACAGTCTTGTCCGTCTGCGTTCTTGAAGGATGTATGCAAGATTTCCACTCTAACGTAGCTTCCCAAACAGTCCAGCATCCGAGCATTCAGCGCCATGGGTTGGGTGTCTTTGCGATCTGGGCATAGGGAAGCTCGAATATGCTCTCGATCTTCCTGGTGGAAGAAGCTGAGAAAGTCAAAGCCAGCCAGACTGCCTGCGCTCATGCCATGTCCGTGGAGCAACAGCGTGGAAAACTGCCGAGAGTCGTCAGTCAGATGAAGATTGCTGTCAATTTCCACCACTGCATCGCAGAATCCAAGGAGCAGCTCCGAAACTGCCGAGAGCTCAATGGTACGTGTGTTCAGCTCTAAACCCATCCTGACATTTTCGTAAAGTGCGTGACGAAGAGGGTAAACTGCTGAGCACAGTAGCACTAGCTCAGCTGACTGAGCGAGGAAGGCGTCGCTTTTCAATTGAAACTCAACCTGCCTCACCGACAGAAACCAATGAATGAAATTGCATGCTAGGGGAAGCCATCTGCGTTTTGGGCACAAGCCCAGACATACTCGCGGCAGCAACGTGATCAGAGAAACACTGGTGACATCCTCCGGAGCTGTCCAAGCTATAGGGACCACACACAGCCCCTGCAACAAGATGTACCACAAGTCCAGCGTTCTGGTCGAGATGACCTTGTCATGGAACATTACGATAAACAGCACAATTGGATACGATATAATGTTCGTGATGTCCAGAGAAGGCTGCAGCTGATGCTCCACACCGTTCATGAGCGGGCCCTGAATGGCAAGTAGCCGCAGAAAAAGGGCAACAACCACCACCCTGCAGCCATTCAACAGCAGCCCGCACAAAGTATCCACGAATTTTGCTTCGATGCAGGCTGTGCCAGGTTTGGGCTTTGATGGCTGGATAAGGCGATCTCTGAGGCAGCATAAGCTGTATTGCAGCTTCGTCAGTGCCTCGGGTACCTGCAATGGGTTCGAAAACATGCTTGTGTTTTCTGAGTTCCTGTATAAAGGAGCCAAACACGTGATGCGCTGTTCAAGCACCCCTGTTTTGAGACACGTCTGCCTGCCGGGTCCATGCAGATTTCAATATGCTGGCCCCCAAGGCAGCTGCTGTGACTCCCTGCAAAAAGAAGATGCACAGCGTCCCAAAATCTCCAAGCTCCATCGGAGGAGGTGTGGATGAGCGGATTACAAAATGGACCAGCTGCACTCCCTTGGGGAGCGCAGCAGCTCTACTGGCTTGAGCCTATAAAAGAATTAGGAAACAAGGACCCATTGCTGTAATATTAGGGTTCCATCGGGGTCATTTTGGGACAATGGAAAATAAAATGGAAACTACTATTTAGGGCTTAGGGTTGAGGCTGAGTGCCCTCAATGCATTCATTGCCTGCCAGACACAGGCTGGGCAGTGGCTACATATGGTAGTTTCCGAAAATTAGGGGTACCCTTATAATATTTTGGGGTCTATGTTGGGGACCCCCTATGTTCGGGGAACTGCCATAGTTTCTTCTGTGTAGTGACCTTTGCCAAGCCTCAGTCTTGCGTTGAACCTTCTGGCAAGCCCTGCATGGCAATGGCCCACCTGTCGGAAACGTGCCCTCGTGATACCACACCTCAGCATCTGCACGAGCACAGTCTAAAAAGGTGCGATACGCCAGAAGGTCTGAGAAACCTAAACCAGTAGTTTCCATGTTCTTTTCCATTGTCCTCATATAATCATATAACCCCTATATAACCCCATGATAATATAGTACGTTTCAATTTCTGCTTCATCATCCCTAAAATGCGCAATAGAGGCACCAGACTTTAGGCTTTCCTAAGATGAGGCAGTGGCAGAGTATGCCAGCTCGGTGGGCTTGGCAATGGCCTCAATCTCTTCCTGCGGCAAATCACATTGACCCACGCCAAGTCATCTCAACCACAACGGTAGCAAACAAATTGGATGACAGGCGAAGGATCTGTTGGCTCTGAAGCTGAAGTGCAGGCCATGAAAACGGGCAATACTTGTAGTACGCCATTCATTGGTAAAAAAAACTGTGCACTTCAGTAAAGAAGCATTGACGGTGTCCATGAGTCTTTAGTCTTTAGTGCCTAAGATGGTCAGATCGCCCGGCAAGCGAAAGCAGCATGGCACACCACAAGACACAAGCTTCCAAAATCCTAGCCTAAGGCAGCATACGCTAAACGCCCTAAATCCTCAGCCTAGCCCTCAGGCATGCGGCAGACTCCTGAGACATGTTCTGGGCAATGAAGTCTGCGCGGTGCCTGCACATCTTGGAAGTCTGACTCTCCATGTCCCTACATGTTTATCCGAGAAGTTGCCTACCGGCAACCTATCAAATGTTCTCGCGCAGTGTAGATTCGAATCTTTGAAGGGTACAGGCGAGAACATGAATTCTTACTCAAGCTCCTTCAGCATGCTGCCCAAAACTGTCGACCGCCAAACGGTTCAAAGGCTGCATGCTAAGCGGTAGCGACCATGCCCAGTATCACACGTTTTCATGAGGAGCGCCGTTTTGTAAGTCCAGTCCTATCCCCGCCATGCCAAAGGATAATTTCCACAAACCCAAGTCAGCAACAAACCATAATATACTATAATATACTACAATATACTATAATATACTACAATATACTATACAATAACCCTGAGCCGTCATTCAATCCGTCACTCCGTTTGGGGGCTCAAAGTTGCACAGGAGATTTCAGGGATCAAAAGGAAGCCCTATATTCATGTAGGGCTTATTTAGGGAATATATTATATTGGTGTTATATTGGGTTTAGGGTTTATGGTTTAGGGGTTATTTAGGGAAAATATCATATTGGTGGTATATTGGGATAATGGAAAATAATGTGGAAACTGCAATTTAATGTTTTTTTTGCACACCTATTTTGCGTTTAGGGCTCAGGGTTTAAGGCCAGGGCTTAGGGTTATCTACTACTGGTGGGTGTAAGGGAAGAGATCATGCTTTACAGGGGAATTGGGCATTTATCAAAAGTGTGGTCCTCTCATAATCCACGCGCAAAATAAGCACTACTACAAGGACCCCCGAAATGAGGCCACAGATTTCCAGAGGAAACATCGCTATAACTTTATCACTGGGCAACACACTATTTGGCAGTCTCCTCCAACTAGGATACCCCAATAGACCCTAAAATACTATTATCCTCATCATAAGGACCCCCAAAAGGGGTACCCCTAATTTTGGGAAACCCTAAACCTTGTATACCCCCATGCAGCCTCTATAAAGTATAAACCCCTATAAAACGTACCTTTAATTTTGGAAAACCGCGATTTGTTGCCGGGAAGCATGGCAAGAAGCTTGGCGTGCACCACTTGGCGCAACTGCTCGCCTTGCTCACCTGATGCATGACAGAAAGCGGGGTGGTTTAGGGTTTAGGGTGGTTTCCACAAACTAAGGGTACCATTTTGGGATATTCTGGAGGTCCGTATTTAAGGGGCTTAATATTTTGGGGTCTATAAAAATAGGGGTCCCCTTGTTCTGGGAAACTGCCCACTCCCTTTCTGAGATGTATGCTGGGAATATGAATCTTTTTCAAAATGGGGGCCGTTATAGACCAACAATACCTAAAAAAGACTGCAAAAGTTGCTCTTCAGATCTTGTTTTGGGAGAGCCCATCTATGTTCAAGGTATCTTGGGGTGCGAAGAGCGGCTCGCTCGATCTGGCCTTGGGCCAATGTCAGCGGATCAGCCAGGCTGGCACGGTGCTGAGCAGCCCAGAACTCCATACAGCGCCTGGCGCGCGGATGTAGGGAAGGTACTTGTACATCTATTCATGAGGTCGCACTGGGCAGGCTTGAGGGAAGTTCCACCAACCAGAACATTTGGAGCTTACAGTGCCTCAGAGTCATTGAATCAGCGTGTGCACGGTCGGTATGCTCTCTTTCAAGAAGATTGAGCCAGCTGGTAGCATGCCAAGTCACCCCTAGCACAAAGGTTTGCCATTCTGAGGCTATGCAAGAAACCGTAGGAATAGTCTTGTTCACAAGAAGAACAGACAATGCGCTTGACATTGCCTGTGCTTGTGGTATCACTCCCTGTGCAGCGCCCTTAGAACACAAATGGTAGCTTCGGTCAGTGCATCTGGCTTCGGCCTCAGTTTGTAAAGAGTTCCAAGCGGCTGCGGACTACACTTAACACCTGGTGTGCACAAACCGCCTGCTATTATTGCGTAGCAAATGCTTGTGATACTATACGTCTGCACCGTGAGGATGTCTTTGTTGTGGCTGCTCCGCCTTTCTCATCCGATGATATCAGGAAAACACTTCCTAGCCCCAAGCACGTCACTCGACAGTTGAAAGAATGTGCAAGTGGTTGTACAGCCGCGAAGACTGCGCATAATGGAGTCCGTTTGAAGATGTCTCCAGTGCTTATGTCCCTCCGACATGGTAGCAAGCATGCCCAGCTGACGGGAAGCTGGACGGACAGCTCTGCGAGTGCCGGTAGAACACCTGGAGTACACCTGCACGCCACCAAAGGCTGTTTGTGACTCGGCTGAAGACGCAATCCACTGTTGCCCGGACCTACTACTCATTTTCCTTAAACAACTTCATCTGAGCTATAGTCTAAATACCTTGCAGGGAGTTACATAGGGGATTATTATAGGGGCTATTAACGGGAATACTAGGAGTTTACACTATAGCTCATCTGAGCTGAAGCGGGGGTGCAGAGCCTCGACACTCGCGGCCAGCAGTACCATCTTGCACCTAGCGCGGGGGCATCAAATCTGCAAACCAGCGGCTGGCAGCTTTTAGCTGTAGACTCCTGTGTCCTGTTCTTCACAATCTCCTCCCGTTAAGGTTGAATCCCCCAAATATTGAACCAGAAATTCGGAGTCTAATTAATAATCCTGCTGACTCCTTTTAAAACGGCTAAACCATTTTTAAAGGGCCACCTACTAATGAGCTCATAATTACCCTTATTAGAAAAAAAAGCAACAGACAGCTGCTGCACTTGACTGCCTACACAGCTTCCATGCCAAAGAGGGCTCATGGAAGCTCACAAACACCCGTCAACCCCAAGCCCCTAAACCCTAAACAAACGTCATGAACCTATCCTACCGCAACCCTTAAGCAACCAGGCCAATTTCATTTCCAACATGTCTGGCACACCCAACGACTTGACTTGTAAAAATCGCAACAAGAGCATGTTCCCATATGCTCCTTAAGCTGAAGCAAGTTAGCATACAATCTATCATTTCCCTCTGCAGCCTGCGGGAGGGGGGGGGTGGCGCCAGAATTTTGGTGCGATCATAAGGCGTTACTTGCCAACGTCACAGCTCATGATGTGTCATTGCTAGGAGATCTCAAATGTTTGCCTCTAGTGCCTTCTCAAAATTTTGCCCCTACAACAATATGGGGGAAACGTATTGAAATGTTGACGCTCAAGAAAAGTTCACCTCCTCTGCTACTAAGAACAGAACCAGCACCCCGACATACGCGCAAAACGAAGGTCACATATTCACCACTGATTGGCGTACACACCCGCAATCCCTAAACATACAAAACCACACATAAACGAACATCCCTCATTCAGCGCTCCATTTTCCCGCTATTCCATATACCCTTAAATATTCCTGTAATTATATTCTTTATAACAAGATGGCACGCCTACTCGCGAGCCCCGCAAATTTCGAAGGAGTTTGGCTATATGAAATGTGCAAAGCCGCTGGATTTTTTGAGCTTTCCATTTTGAGCGGCCTATATTGCAAAGGACGCTGAGACTGGTCAACGTGTTGAAGGGTTTGCGTGTTTCGCTACATCGAAAACAACATTTTGAAAGTGGCAAAAACGAAACTTTGGGGAGGACTCCAAAAGCATGGTTGCGGCATGACGTTGAGGCTGCCGAAACCCATAGGCTTTCGGGTGCATCAACAAGGCCTCATCTAACTTTTGCTAATGATGGATTTCTTTGGAATACAAGAGGGCAAGAAATGCTGAGCACTCGTGGTTGTTTCAAGCACAAACGAAAATGTCTCTAACAACTTGCTAAAGACTATTGGGTGGCCGTAGCATAAAGAGAGGGACCCCAATCAATACTTTTTGATGACCATGGGGGCTTGAAACATAAGGACAATCAGACAGCGTGGACACAGGCGCACAGCGCAGACGGCAGCCCCACATGGCGGCACTTACCCGTGTGACGC